ATGGTGTATGATGATGAGAGCAAGACCATCCGAGGCCGCCCCCTCAAAGAGCTGAAGCACAACCGCGTCCCTTATAGGGATCGCGGGTGGTGCAAGGCAGAGGTGGAGTGGTCCTCTTGCAGGAGCAGGTCCGAGCAGAACCAGTTGATCGACGCTCCGGGCTCCGAAGTGAACTCCAAAAGCGAGCTCAAGGGCAAAGTCCCAATGGCTCCCGAGGTCTTCCAAGAAGACATGAAGAGAGCCGCGTTCACGCATCGGAACGATGCCGGAGACGTGCAGAAGCTGCAGCAGGAGATTTACTACGAGAAAGTCTCGGCATGCGAAGAGGCGCTGCTGACAAGCTTGCCGGAAGGCGAGCTGGGCCGGCTGCCAAAGCCCTAGCAGATTACAGGAAGCTGAAGGTCTTGCGCCTCCGCAACATTGAGGTGGGTGAGGCAGAGGCCGAGGAGTTCTGCAAGGTGGGGCCGCCGTGCCACGAGGGCGCTTGTCATAGAAAAAGCTGTGTTTTCAGGCGCTTGGGCTGAACGACACAATCACAAAGCTGGAGATCCAAGTCGCTGAATCCCATCGAGACCGGTGTTCGGCTCTGTGGAAGGCAGGAGCTTTCACGGGGACAGAGATACGGTAGCTTGCTCCCGGGCCCGTTGCTCCCCTGAGAGGCACTGGCAGAAGCACTGAAGTCCAACTGTTCGGTCACCCACGTCAACCTCGGTAACAACATGATCGGGGACGAGGGTGCCAAGGCCAGGCGGTGGTGCACCGGGGTCTTCGCAGCTTGCAGTTTCGACCCCGCGTTTTCTCCTGAGAGGCGCTCGCAGAAACCTTGAAGTCCAACTGTACGGTCACCCACATCAACCTCTTTTGCAACAAGATCGGACCCGAGGGTGCCAAGGCCAGGGGGCGCCCACGGGGTCTTTGCAGCTTGCAGTTTCGACCCTGCGTTTCTTGTGAGAGGCACTCGCAGATGCCTTGAAGCGCAACTGTATGGTCACCCACGTCGACCTCGCTTTCAACAGCATCGGGGACGGGGGCGCCAAGGCCAGGCGGTGCCCACAGGGTTCTTGGCAGCTTGCAGTTTCGACCCCGCGTTTCTTCTGAGAGGCACTCGCAGATGCCCTGAAGTCCAATCGCACCGTCACCCACGTCAACCTCCGTTTCAACATGATCCGGGACGAGGGCGCCAAGGCCAGGCGGTGCCCACAGGGTTCTTGGCAGCTTGCAGCTTCGACCCCGCGTTTTCCCCCTGAGAGGCGCTCGCAGAGGCCGTGGAGGCCAATGGCACCGTCACCGTCAGGCTGGGCCACCGCCAGATTGGAGGCAAGGGTGCCGAGGCCGGGGCTCTCGGGGTTCCAGGCGGCAGTTTTGCCGCAGATGCTCTGAAGTCACCCCACCCGCGTCGACCTCGCATGGAATCGAAGCAGAGATGAGAAGGTTCCTCGGGCCCATGGGGCACC